TCTACCTTTACATTGCCAACCCTTACAATCAGTCCTGATAACAATTATTCACTATTGTATCACAAGAGACCCGTCTGCATTTCATTGCATCAGCCCCACCTAGTCAGATTGAATACTACTCACTGGAGATTCTCCCCAACTGATTTTTGTATGTTGATTTTGTGCCCTGCTAGTTTGCTGAATATTTCAGTGAGTTCCAATTATTTTCTTGTCAAGTCTGGGATTTTCAATGTGTAGGAGCTCTGGTAGCGTAGTGGTTATGAATCGGGCTTCGAACTGCAAGGTTAGCAGTTTGAAACTACCAGCGGTTCTGCAGGAGAAAGATGAGGCATTCTGCTCCTGTAAAGATTTACAGCCTCGGAAACCCTGTACAGGGTCGCTATGAGTCGGAACTGACTCCACGGCACATCACAACAACAACAACAAGGATTATATTATCTGCAAACAGAGAGCATTTTACATCTTTGCCATGTGAATGCTTTCAACTTTCCTCTATTGCCTTATAGCTCTGGCTAAGACTTCCAACATGATACTGAATAGGAGTCATGATAAGAGGCATCCTTGTCTGGTTTCTTTTCACCAGACAAGGGAATGTTTTAAGTTTCTCTTCATTGAGAGTAATGTTGACTGTTGGATTTGTATATATGCTTTTAGTTATGTGGAAGAATTTCCCTTCACTTCCTACTTTGTTGAGTGTTTTATGAAGAATGGATGTTGGATGTTGTCAAATGTTTTCCTGCATCAGTCACTGTGATCATGTAGTTCTTTTCCTCTGTTTATTTATAAGGTAGATTACATTGATTTTTATAATATCGAGCCATCCTTGCATCCTTATTATGAATCCCACTTGATCATATTATTATTTTTTGATGTTGTTGATTTCTGTGGGCTAGGATTTGAGAATCGGACTCCTGGTGTGGCCCTGTAGAATCAGTACTGGACTGTGAACCACTACCTTGGGAACCCTGTATTGGGTTACTATGAGTCGGAACTCAGTCGATAGCACTTAACAGCAACAACAGCATGTTCATGAGGGATTGCTGTTGTTGTTTAAGTGCTATTGAGTTGGTTCCGACTCATAATGACGCTGTGTGGGGTTTCCACCCCAAGGATGGCAGTTCAAACTCACCAGGAGTGGCTGGTGAGTTTGAACTGTCAACTTTGAGGTTCAAACCAACCTTGCAGCCAATGTTTATCCTACAGTTCCCTACCAGGAGGGATATTGGTGTGTAATTATTTTTATTAGTGATGTCTTTGCATGTTTTTGGTATGAGGGTTGCTTGCTTAATGAAATGTATTTGGGATAAGAAGACCATTCACTAAAAGTGCCATCGAGTTGGTTCCAGTTCATAGTGACTCTGTATAGGGTTTCTGAGGAGCAGTTGGTGGGTTTGAAACACTGACCTTGTGTTTTAAAACCACCTTGTGGTCCAGTGTATTATCTTGATGTGCCACACCAGGACTCACTAAATGTAGATTCATAAAATCTGTTAAAGACTTACCATCTTTAAAAGCTTGATTGTTTTAGGGGTGAGAGATTGCTGACATACTCTGGCAACAGTTGAGTTTGGGACATGCTCAGTCCTCTGCTAGTGTATTTTAGCTTCCAAGTACTGTTCAAGCTGGAACTTAAGGACATGCTCCTGTCCACCTCTGTCACTGCTTCATGAATTGTACTATATTGCTTGTTGTTGGTATAGGTTCCCTCCATCAATGTGTCAGACAGCTGAAGCCAAACATCTATATCTTAATTTCAAATGGCATCCTTCATAGGTTTCCTAGGCATTTTAATTGTCGTGGATACAGAAACCATAGTTTTACCTGTTTTTTTTTTATTTGGTGCTGTGGCCATATATGTAACAAATGAAAACCTTGCTTGGTCCTGTACCCTCCTCACAATTGTTGCTACGTTTGGACTCACTGTTGTAGCCACTGTGTCAGTCCATCTCACTGAGCTTCTTCCTTAGTTTGCTGACCCTCTAGCTTACCAAGCAATTGGTCCCTTTCATGAGTTTTTATCTGGTAAGCTAGATGAAGTCTGTATATTTTTTGCTCCATCCTTACCACTAGGGAACATTTTGGCTATTTTTCCTCGAAGATAGAATGGTTCAGTCTCCTGATAGTCTGCCAATCCGTTGTATACTCAATATTCTTCACAAAACCCACAATTTGAATTTGTCAGTTCTTCTTCAGATTTCTTTGTCATTGTCCAACTTTTGCTTAGATAGGAAGCAACTAAAAATAACCAGTTTCGGTGAGATATACCTTAGTCTTCAAAGTGACAGCTTTGCTTTTTAACTCTTTAAAGAGGTCTTTTGCAGCAGACTTGCCCACTTTAATAATATTTCCAGATTCTAATAAGCACTGTAGCCCAAGGTTAACTGAGTGTCCTCCTGGTTCTGGCAGCCCGGAAGAGCCTAGTAAGCATACAGCTTAATAAGAACTTGATGCTGGTGTGTTTGTAAGTTTCTGACCTCCAAAGTTCTTTGTGTGTCAGAAGACAATGACCCGTGAAAATCATAGATTAATAATTTATATAAATTGTGTTTTTTAAGCATTTTATTTAAAATTCTACGTATGGAAAGATATGAAAGTCCAAGGACCAACAAAATCTGGCTAAAAATATTTATTCTTGACTCTGAATTCAAGGTAAATTAGCTCTTTTGTTTCTTTTTTTAAATAGGGTTACACATCATTTTGGAATGACTGTATATCATCTGGATTACGTGGCTGTATGTTAATTGAATTAGCCTTGAGAGGAAGGTTACAACTAGAGGCTTGTGGAATGAGGCGTAAAAGTCTATTAACAAGAAAGGTAAGAGGAGTGCTGAGTAACACTTTGATAAACATTTGTGTGCTTAAAAATGAAAACGATTTCTACTAATCACTTTTACACATAAAATAAGGAAGTTGATATTAAAATCTAGCCTTTGTTGAATAGTGTTTGCATATCCTTTTTGGTTTCCTGCTGTTTGTACATATAATGAATACTGTAATTCATTGTTATGGTCACTGGCCAGGGCATATTTAAAGAGATCCCAAACTTCACTTGCTGCTTCTGAAAGCTGTCATTTTGAAATAAATGACATGTTTATTTTAAAACTCAAAAGCATTTTTGGAAAAATTGACTACCCCATAAGCTATCTTTTTCAGCAGAATATAAATGCTGCTCAGGATCTGTCTTCTGCACTGGGAGAATTTGTGTAGATAGTTTTCCTATGGTAAAATAGATGTTACAATTGGTTAATGTCTAGAATTTTTAACTTCAGTCTTAATCTTAGTTCAACTCTGTTTCTCCTGTAGTCCATCCTTGGTGTTTCAAAATGGCTTTGTATTGTGTATTGTATGTATTGTTTGGAAATCTCAGAATCTCACTATTCTGTCCTTAGCTGTGAGGATATAACACTTACCCCCTTTTTACATTTTGTTCAGTCTGACATCAGCTGCCCTCGCAGCACTTCATTCTTTGACTCTACCCAGAGTGAGGTCATATCCCACAAGTTAAAAAGCAGTTCTTCAGACTAGCAAGTAGGTAGGTAGAGGACCCCTACAAGTTTGGGGGCCCACACCACACCTTCACTCCTGATTTGCTGACTACAAATTTGGAGTTCCCCAGTACCCCTTAAGGGTTCCAGCTGCAAGCTTAGGAATCTCCTTGGGTGCCTTCACTTCTCACCTGATGACTCCCGCTAACTATTCCTTTGGGTCCATAGTTCTCTGGAATCACTCAGTACTTAAAGAAAGTGCTGTACTGTATTTTCACCCCAATAATATACACCTACATGTTTGTTTGTCAGCTGCTCCCTCCTCCCCAGGAGGTATTTTTTAGACATGATGTATAGTTTTTTAAAAAAAAAAAAAGTAAAAATTTTTTTGGTCATAGCTGGTCCTAAAGAAAATTCTGCTGGTTATGGAAGGGTTGACAAATAGAACGTGCATTTCATGAGTGCAAAAACAGTGCTTGTACTTACTGCTATAGCTTTATTATAGCATTAAAAGAAACATATGAGGCATGTGGAGCGAGCTTTGGTAGGATTCCCAACCTGGAGCTTCCATGTCTGCTGGTTGCTCTACTAACCAGAAATCTCATTGGCTCCACTGTCCTTTTTTCCCTTGATGTCAGCTCATCTAAGGCCTAGGTGGTAGTCTTTCTGGCCAGGTCAGCCCTCATTATGAGCACAAACTCCCAGATGTGGTCTAGAGGCCTAGCTAATTTCCAGTTACTCAGGAAATTTAAAAAAATTGCATGTCAGAACTGAATATTTTTTAATGTGTATGCTCTAGAAATGAATAATTTTGTTGGAAAGAAAGCCATTAGTGTTTTCTTGAAAGTTATATGTAAACAGGGCATATTAGAAATTATTTTATATGGAATTTAAAAATTAAACCTAATTTGATAGGTTAAAGTCATGAGCTGATATGAGGTTGGTTTTAAATTGACTATTTTAGATAACTATGTCATAAAACAAACTTATTTCATTTTATTGAGTAATAGTAATGACTTATAGAAGAAAAATCTCAAGCTGCCACTATAATTATTAATAACATATATACAGAGATTATTACTAACTATACAATATAATTTTGTATTGATGTTATGAAGCTCAGACTTATAGTGAAAAGATTTTCATACTCGTTCTATTGGTTCTTTTGTGTGAACTTATAAAAAAAGGGAGCTCTGGTAGCGTAGTGGTTATGAATTGAGCTGCTAATCTCACAGTTAGCAGTTCGAAACTACCAGCTGATCCGCGGGACAAAGATGAGGCTTTCTGCTCACGTAAAGATTTGCAGCCTCGGAAACCCTGTAGCGGGTCGGTCTAAGTCGGAACTGACTCCATGGCACATAACAACAACAACAAATAAATAAGAACCAATTTTGTGTGGGTTTGTCAGTTGAGTGTCTATTCTTTTATTCATTCATCACATTTATTTAGTACTTACTTGTATCATGTACTGTATTAGACCTTGGTAACCAAGAAAGAAATGTTCTCTGCCTTATACTAGTTTAGTATTACTAGTTTGTATTATTTTCACATACATCTTTTGGAAGCATATGCCAGTATGATTTAATTTTCTCATTTAAAAATAATCATTGATTTTATTAAGATCAGCACTGAACTGCTATCCACAGGTTGGCAGTTCAAACCCAGCAGCTGCTCCTTGGACACCCTATGTAGGATTGCTATGAGTTGGAACCAGCTTGACAGCACTTACCAACAGTAATAATGTGATAGTTATAAAATCAAGTTGTGCTGAAAGATTTATAAGAACCCTAACCAAAACAGCAACCTTCTGCTCACCTTTTTTCATTCAGTCTTTATCTCTGCTTGTAGGAGGCAGTCATTTTCAGTTTTTGCATCCATATCCTTGGGCTGTCATACAAATTACTTCAAACAGTTGTTGTTGTCAGGTGCCATCCAGTCGGAACCGACTCATAGCGACCCCATGCACAGCAGAATGAAACAATGTCCGATCCTGGGCCAACCTCACTACCGCTGCCATACTTGATGCCATTCCTGTTTTTCTCTGACCCTCCATCTTACCCAGCATGACATCCTTTTCCAGTGACTGTTCCCTCCTTACGATGTGTCCAAACAATAGAAATCTGTTATTACATAGTTCTAAAAGCCAGAGGTCCAAAATTAAGTTGTTGGCAGGGTTCTACTCCTGAAGTATTTATTTCTTTTCTCTTCCAGCTTCTGGTGGTTTCAGCTGCTGTTGTTCTTGGGTTGCGGCTGCATCTCTCTTTGATCCTTTTTCACATTGCTTTCTCTGTGTGTCTCTTGTAAAGATAACTTTTCATTAGATTTAGAGCCTACTGGGAATCCAGGATGCTCTTGTATCAAGATCCTCAGTTCTAAATCTCATATCAATTCTTCCCACCCCCTTTTGTACATAGAACAAACAACAGCAGACAACAGCCCGGGATTAGCATCCATGACAGTGTCACCCAGAACTCAGTCCAGCTGTAGAAGTTTCCATAGTAAAACACATTCACAAAACTTACAATATGGAACCAGAGTTATCAGTTTGCAACAACAAAAAACTGCAAAGTAAGAAAAGGGACCAGGATAGCTACAGAACTTCCAAATGAAAGGGAAATTAAATAGATTTCAAGGGTGGAAAAAAACGAAAACTACTGTTGCCCTAAAACTACACTAAGCCCTAACCCTAGTCCTAACACTACATGAAACCCTAGGTCTCACCTAGACCAAGCCACAGTCTTCACCCTTAAAAAAGCCGAGATCCTAAACTTAGTTACATCTACAAAGACTTTTTAAATCTTAAGTAAGTGTACATTCATGTGTGTAGGATAAACACTGAACTGCTGCTAACTGCAAGTTCAGCCATTTTGGGCACACTACCTGCTCCTTGGGAGAAAGATGAAGCTTTCTGTTCCTGTAAAGACTGAACAGCTTTGGAAACCCGACACAGGGTCACTGTGAGTCAGAGTGTGCTTGATGGCAGTGGATTTGCATTTGGTTTGAGGGATAAGACATACTGATATATTCAACTGACTGTAATGCTCAGTAATTTCTTTTGAAGTTTACCCCATATTTGTAAATAAATGCATACTGCCATCTTTTGACAAATCATTTTCTTTCTGTTAGAATAGATGACTTTTTAGCTTTCTTATATGGCAGTCCCGTTTTCCTTATAGTTACATCATAATTTTTGGCAAGAAAGTAATGATTACATTTTAACAAGATTTATTACTATTGTATTTTGCAGGTTTATGCTATGTCCTATGTTACTTTACTTTCTTATATGGTGTTAATCCCCCTCAACTCCTCCCTTCATCCCTTATTTAAAAATTTTTTCCATGTAGGTGTTATTATTTTTTTCTCTTAAATGTTCCATCAGAGAAAAATTACTGTTGCTTAAAAATGTTCAAATATATCAGATAATGGCATTAAAATTTCCCATATTCGGTAGTCTGGACTAGTTTTGCTGTCCTGTGTAGCTCTAATCCTGGGACTTCTTTCTTGTTAACAGTTTTTTGCTTTCAATCCCCCGTTTCCTATAGTTCATGTTTTTTTCCACCCTGTTAGGAGGAAGATGTTTTAATACTTTGAATACCTGAAAATGTCTTTACTTCTAGTTGGTAGTTTAGCTGGGAATAAAATGTTGGCATTATTTTCCACAAACTTTTGAAGGCATTTTTAAAATTGTCTACTAACATGCAGAGTTGCTGTTAATGTCTCATTTCCTTCAGATTTTCATTTTCTATACGAGATCAGTTTTTTATTTATTATTTTACTTTTTGGAACCTTTTGGAATCAAATGTGTATCCCTGGTGTTTTGAAATTTTGATATGCCTGGAAGTGGGGCATTTTAAATTCACGATGCATAGTCTCTTTCCATCAGATGATGTGTATTTTTTGGTATTAGAAAGTTTTCTTGGGGCAGTATTTTTCTAGTATTCTGGTTACTCTTACCTTTGATTCTGATACTATTATTTTTATTGTGGCTCTCATAATTTGACTTTCAGGAGCCCTTTGTGTGTGTATTTCAGTCTTGGTTTCTTTTTCTTATTTTGATGAAGTAATGTCTTTTTTAGTTCTCTGAAGATATTACTGTTTTAAGAAAAATCCTTTATCTGTATTGTTTCTGTGTAGAGTTCCAATTTCTTCTCTCTCTTGGTTGCTAATGTTTCCTTCAAATGTCTTGTCATCCTTTATTTGTTCATATGTGGAAAAAAGGTTCCTATCTCCAAAACAAACCACACAGACACACAACAACTAGGAAATTACGTGTTTAGAAAAATATATTTACTTGTGGGCCACATACACAATTACTGAATTTTGTTAAGAAGCTTAGACAGTATTCTATGAATCATTGAAGAGTTTTACGCAGAGGCAGCAGAATGTTATGATAATTGGCTTTAGAAAGAAAGATCATTGTAGAGAAGAGATTGGGAAAGGCCAAGATTAGATTTCAGGAATCTAATTAGGAGACCTAAATTAATCCAAGTAAAAGATAACTGGATGGATATTCTAGATGGCAAAAGTGCTGGAGAAAAGTGATGCATTGGAAATAGATTTAGAGGATGTTTCATACGATAAAGAAGATCCCTGTATACCCAGGTTATTGTGACTCTGATATGAGACCAATCTCAAAGGGAGTATGAGTATGAGGTGGGTGTTGAGGTCAGATTGCAGTGGATTATGGGAGTTGGGGTAAATCAGTAAGAAGTAGTGGTATGACCACAATATATTGATCTTTAAATTTTTTCCCAAGATTTGCCTTTCTTTTCTTGTTTTTTGCTCTCTCATCCTCCACTTAAAAACATGGTTTTACGTAACAGAGTCCAGTAGAACTTTCTGCCATATGGTGTTTTGTAACTGTCCAATAGGATAGGCACTATCCACTGTATCTGTTGAGCACTTGAAATGTGACTGGTGCAAACTGAAACTTGTCGTAAAGAAAAACACACAAGGGATATTTTTTTTAAATAAAAGACTTACTTTGGGAGCCCCATTCAGGGTCACCATGAGCTGGAACCCTTAATAACAACTACACCACCACTAATATGGGAAAAACCGAACATAAATTGTCTCGATTTAATAATATTTATTGTTGTTGTTAGGTGCCTTCAGGCAGTTTCTGAGTGCTAGCAGCCTCATGTATAGTAGAGGAAAACTGCCATCCTCACAGTTGTTGCTGTCTTTGAGTCCATTTAAAACAAACAATGTATTTTGGCTACAATGGATTAAATCAAACATATTAAATTTAATTTCATATGCTTCTTTTCCTTTTTGATACAACTACTAGAAAATTTAAAACTAGATTTGTGGTTTTTATATTTCTATTTATATGAGGTCATACTGCCTTAGTAATAGTTAGAATGTTTTGTAACCTTACAAAAAAGATAAAAGACACATGGTTGAGGATAAATTTAAGACAGAAATGTTGACTTAAAAAAAAAAAAAAAAAGATAATTGTTTAATTTCATAACATTTTAGTATCTGGCAGTATTGTTATTGTTAAGTGCCGTCAGTTGGTTCCAACTCTTAGGGACCCTGTAAAGGATTTCCAGGGAGTGGCTGGTGAGTTTGAACTGCCAACCTGTGGTTCAAACCAACCTTGTAGTTGAGTGCTTATCCTACAGTGCCACACCAGGACTGCATAAGATAGTGTAACAAATTCAGATTTGATACAGAATTTCACCTAGAAATTTGTTATGTAGCTAACAGCATTAATGGAAGCTAGAGCATTCCAGACTTGCTTATGGTACAATATAGCACTTTCTGCTCCCAGTCCTCACCTCTCAACTTTTCCATTCATAAGATTTGTTTCTATATCACATTAGTTTTTTGTTTTTTTTAAAAATCATTATAATTAAAATTTTTATATAGTCAAATCTGTTGGTATTTTTCTTCAATATTCCTGCTAGTGGTTACAGTTTTTTAAAAAGCCTTTCTTGCCCCCCCCCAAATTATATTTCATATTTATATCTGTATTTTTTATTGTTCAATGAGCTAGGAGGAGCCAGTCTTCCTTAATTTTTACTTTATTAGCCAGTTGTTAAATAACATTATAGAAAAATTTGTTTCCCCATTTGGTATGAAATGCCACCTTTATTATTTAGTGAATTCTCAGATCCACTTGAATTTCTGGATCTAATAAATAATGTTTAAAACATGAATTTATGTATCAAAGTACTCGAATGTTCAGCATTGAGAAGAATTACAGTGAGTATAAATTGTTCTAGCATTTTACTTTACTAATTATTGCATAGTGACTTTGGTTTTTACTCATGATTAATCTGATTAGGCTAGATAGTGGATTTCTTCAATATAGAAGTAATTTGAAATGTGAGTTTTGATACTGTATTAGCACTTGGCGCTTTAAGCATAATGAGTTGTTTGCAGAGTTTATGATTTAGTGAGATCAAGACCAAATAAAGAATTATTGCATTCTTATTGCTTACATTTTAGGTGATCTGTAAGTCAGATGCTCCAACAGGGGATGTTCTTCTTGATGAAGCTCTAAAGCATGTTAAGGAGACTCAGCCTCCAGAAACGGTCCAAAACTGGATTGAATTACTTAGCGGTAAGCTTCTGTGTATCAGTTAAAAACTGAATTCTGTTTAAAAGTTTCATAAAAGGCTAAAATCATTTTGAAAGTAACCTACAGGAGATAGCCAAATACTTGTTTAGTTTTTTAGGCCAACTCAAGAGTTATCAGTCACTGAGTGGGGTAAATAATGGTTTAAAAAATTTCTTTCTCCTTCTTATATCAGTATTCATTGTGACATCATTCACAATCACCAAAAGATGGCAGCAACACAAGTGTCCATCAACAGAGACTGAATAAACAAAATGTGGTATACAATAGACAGTTCTTCCTTCATAAAGAGAAATGAAGTTCTGGTATGTGCTGTGACAGTATGCCAAGTGAAATAAGTGTGGTTTGAATTTCCCATGCTTATATGCATAGAGACAGAAGCAGATTCATGGTTACCAGAAGCTGGGGGGAGGGGAGAACAGTTAGGATTTAATGAGTACTGAGTTTCTGTTTGGGGTGATGAAAACATTTTGAAATAGATAATAGTAATTGTTGCTACTGTGTAGGTAGGATTTTATTTTAGAAAACTAATAGATACTCAGGTTAGATACCCATTAACTCTTCTAGTTCATTGCAAGATAGTCATGGTAAGACATGCAAGTCTGACCTCACAGCATCCATTTAAGACCAGAGACTCAGAATCAGCCATCACAGTTGTGATGTTGTTCAGTGGGTACAGTTCACATATTCAGACTTCCAGGCTTTTACCTTTAATGAGAGGTCTTAGGAAGGCTTAACCATGACTCAAATTTGGTGGAGATTCTTCTTAAACAAGGTCCAAAGTCTCAGTTTCATCACTGCCTTCTCTGAGCGAGTGAGCAGAAGTTTCAGGTTTATTTGTAATTTCGTCACCTTGATTCTACACAACAGCAACCAGTGTGACATCAAAGATGTCATTCCCTTTTTGCAGGGTTAGATAGTAGCCAAACGATACATCTTCAGGGTTAGAGATTAGGGACATTGTATAGATTTGGGTTAACGTTTTCTTCTGTCAAAGTGAGCTCAAGGTTGATTTTGTTCTTACATGCTTCTGTGTTTCTATGTCTAAATTCAGAAATGTTTTAAACTTCTTATGAGTTATAGGTTTCTAATGACTTATAGTTAATGTTTGAGAATACCACAAAGGTGGATATATTTCTGTTTCTAAATTTATAAGTTTTTAGATATGTATTTTGAAAGTATAAAAGTGACATCTTAAGAGATTTAAGAGCGTTATAGAAGCATGCAGAATAGCTGCACAATATTGTAAATGTGACTAATGTCACTTAAAAACAATTAGAGGCAAATTTTTATTACATACTGTGTCACAGTTAAATCATCTCCTGTAACAGGACTGAGCAGGTACCAAATGAGATGTAATATTCTCCCTTAGAGCTCCCGTCATTATCAAAATGAGTGGGTGCGTTACCTATTCTGTGAGTCAGGATAGGTTAGGCTAAGCTGTGGTAACAAAACAACTGCCAAACCTGTGTGGACTAAAACAACAGTTTATTTCTCACTCATATTGTAATTTACTCATAAATCATGTCATCCTCACTCTGAGTACCAGCCAGTTGGAACTGACACTGTTTGGAGCCTTGTCTGTAGCTGTTGTTAAGGGAAGAAGAGCATAGGAGGCCCTTTAAACTTTTTGTAGAAATGACCTGGGGTTCACAGTGCACTGATCAGAGCACCTCACATGGGCTCCCCTGGCTTCAAGGAGATTGGAAAGTGCAGCATTAGGGACGTGGACCTGAGATACTTAACTGGCAGTAACAATACTGAGTATGTACTTCCATTTCTGTGTATATTTATTTGGGTATTTACCTAATCTCCCAGATGGTGAGCTTCTTGAGTTTGGGAACTAAGTTATCCTGCTCCTCCAATCTAATGTATAAAACATATCTTTACCATGCATTCATTGTTATTTCATGTTAAGTAAAAATGCTACTTAAAGTAGTGGTTTTAAAAGTAATCGGATAATGTCAGAGATAGGTAATTAGCATAATGTCATTTTTCTTCCTAATAAAGTAAACAGAATTTCTAAACTTAATGACCTTATGTGGATGCTTTTCTCTCACTAAAAGATTTTGAGGTTTATATGTTTCCTTATTCTTAGCTCATTGGATATTTATGGGTACTTTATATTGAGGACAAATTTCAGTCATTCTTACTGATAGAGAATGCAGTCTCTTCATAAGGTCTTTTGATAATTTTGCAATCGTTTGGGCCATTCTCATGTAGATCTAATGATAGTATTTCTTTTTACCTCAGTGAATACAAGAAACTTTAATGCTGCCCCTTTCCTCCCCTGGTGCTTGTCCATATTAGTGTTGACTTTAACTTGCAATTTCTTTTGCTAAGGACCCCTTTAAATTTAATTATTATTATCTTTTTTAAGGTTTTTGTTGTTGATTAAGTGAAAGTTTACAGGGCATATCATCACTTTTATATTCAAATCATGTACCTTGTTTCATTACATTGATTGTAATCCACTCCATGTACCATCAGTTAACCGTATTTCTCTCTATCCACTTTAGCTTTTTAAAATACAAACAAAAATAGCACTCAGGCATATATAATAAATCACATCTCCAAAGGGCACATTCTGCAAGTCTGCTCCTGGCCACCAGCTCTTAGTCCTTCTCTTCTTAGTCCATGAATTTAGAGTCCTCAGCCACTCCCCCCCTCCATGCCCCCATCTCTGCCTCCATCTCTGGTGCTGCTGCTTCTCTGGATAAGGTCCCACATTCTGCTTGTGCGCGTTCCTCTTGATGGTCCTAGGGTCTTCTGTTTCTGGACTATAAGATTAACCACTCCCCTTTTTTTGTTACAAAACTTCTACCTTTACAATTGTGACAATCACGATTAGTCATGATAACAGTTATTCACTATTGAATTTTACGAATCTTATCCCCATCTCTTTTCACTAGACCCATCTAAACAAGATGACAGCTATTCAGTGGGGACTCTTTCTTTCCCTCTTGAAACCATGTAAGCCAGTCACTTTGTGCCTTTATTGCCCCCTCATTTTAGGTAGTCAATGTCTAAGTTGCCCGTTTAAATTAATTTTGAATGAGGATGATACCCTTCTTAAAGGGTGAGTCCAGTTAAAACTGGGGCTAAGATTGTGTGGTGTCAAGTCCGACTCCTAGTGACCCTCTATAGGGCTTCCGAGGCTGTTATCTTTATCTCTCCCTCAGAGCAGCTGGTAGATTCAAACTGCTGACTTTTCAGATAGCAATCTAACACATAACCCACTATGCTACCAGGGGTTCTTTGGTTAAAACTGAAGACTAGAATTTATGAGTCCACGTAAGCAGCACACATCAGTACAATGCATCACAATGCCCAACACACTGTTAGACATCCCTGCTAGCACTTCCATTTGTGCCTGTCAGTGATGTGTGACCATATAACAGACTTCATGAAGGTGTCACCTCCATCTGTGAAATACTGGTGCTGCTGGTGGGCTGCCAAGTCAGCTCCGACTCGTAGCAACCCTGTGGAGGGTTTCAGAGGCTGTAAATCTTGTTTTCTTTTTTAAAATGTTTTATTGTGAATTATATGTTAGTTTACATGGGAGAACTTTAGTTTTACATTCATTCCATCGTATATCATCTCACTCCCATGGTTCCAATCCCCTCCATGGATACAACCACTCAAAGGATATATCCCAGAAACCCACCCCCTACACTGCCCCCCATCCCCCAGTTTTTGGCTCATAGTCCCTTTCCCTCTCTGGGTCCAAAATCCCCAGCCGCTTCATCACTTTTTTTGGTTTGGTTTTGTATTTTATTACATCAATGACTTGAAAAGTTTTATTTAACTTCAGCAAATACTGGAAATAAAAAAATGAATTCTGCAGAATTTCACAAATGTTTCCAATTTCTACTAGCCAACGTTATCATTCAATGGCTAAGCAATCAGAATGTTACCAACACTCACCACAGTGACTACGCGGAAAAGAGAAACACTAAAACAGACTTACAGCAGCATCATTACAACATACTTTCTTGAAAATTTCCAACATGGATTTTTTTCCCTCACTTCAAAAGATATACAGCATTTCCATTATATTTGCAAACTTTATACATCTTTTAAAATCTGGAAAAGTTTTTAAGCGATCTAAAAAGCACTTAGCAAAGTTGGAAAAGTCTGCATCATGGGATCCTATTCAATCCAGGATATGGTTTCTCTGGAGGCTGCAGCGACTGTAAGTACTCAGTATGATACAACATGCATAGACTGGACTGACCGTCCTTTTGAGCGGCGACTGTACTGCCCTTGTGCTTCACTGTAACCAGGGGAAGCTACCGAGGTCTCAGAGGCAGCGCCAAGAGGGCTTGCTTCTGAGTGGTGCGCAAGATCATTCAGTCAGCTGAGTGATCCGAGGCCAAGGTTCCCTGAGGTCCTGAGGGCCCCTAGATTCAGAACTGGGCCAGCTCCCCCAGGAGTTGGCTCCCTTGTTCCTTTGTACACGTATGCAGAGATCCAGTTAGTGTAATGCACTGTGTGGCTTATTTTTTGGTATGCAATTATACCAATAATAGTACATCTGATATTTCAAACGACAAAATATGGCGTAGTTGAAATTTAAAGTGACAAAACACACTTACAGTGATATGTGAGATTGGATAACATTTTCTATACAGAGAAAACATCTGCTTAATTACACCACCATAGTAAGCATTTGAGCTCTGGTAGCGTAGTGGCTACGAATCGGGCTGTGAACTGTAAGGTCAGCAGTTCGAAACTACCAGCTGCTGTGCGGGAGAAAGATGAGGCTTTCTACTCCCATAAAGATTTACACCCTCGGAAACCCTGTACAGAGTTGCTGTGGGTCGGAACCGACTCGACGGCACTTAACAACAACAACAAGTAAGCATTTCAAACTCAACTCTGTTTAGCTTTCTTAATTTTCAGTTTTTGATTAGAGGTCTGTGGCCATCAAAGGATCTTACAGGTAAAAAAAACCCAACCAACCAACCAATCAAAGCCCACTT